TGTCTACTACATCACTACGGAACTTAGATTCCAGATCCGCTTTCATTTTCCAATGTAATAATCCACTTTATTCAATCGCGAGATGTACACAACTCAGATCAGTAAATGGAATTTCACCTATTGTTTTTAGGCATTCATGAGTGGTAAACTCAAAGTGAAAGGAAACGTGATGCTCCTTCAAAAGCTGCAGGCAATCCTCGACAAGAAGAGAAAGGCAAAGCTATAAGTGGTTCTGTGGAAAAAGGTTTTGGAAAAGAGAATATTTATGCGGCTTTTGAAAGTTAATATTGTGAGTACAGTACAGTGCAAATAAATTTCTCTTTCATAGCATACGTCACACATTTGTTGATGAAGGTAAAGGACAAGAATGAATTTTTCTACGTCAGGCATTTTCTGGAATGTACCACGTATTCGGCCCTCATGATGAATCGCAGTCGCACTTAGCCCCCCACAGTGAACACTGGGGCCAGGCAATGTGGATGTCAATGAATTTCCTCTCCTAGAGTTTACAACCTGACTTAAAGCAATACTCCAGATCGAATTTGTGGGGTCACAGTGGTTGATAATGAAGTTGTGGATGCCGAATTGACTAAAAATGAAAAAAGAAGCAAAGAAAACGTCGATGAAGCTAACCAAAATTCTTCCTCGAAATAAGGAAAGGGGCGGGGCTAGACGAGTTGTACGAATTTGCCTGCTCTACGGCTCCACGAACCCACGCGTATTTGAAATTGCCGATTCTTCGTAATCCACGCTACGCACCACGGAAATGCGCAAGGTATCTCGTCCGAATGCTAAGACTTGTCGCCTTATGTTGAGTTTGTGATATAGCTCACTTTGGAATCCGAAAACGCAAAAATCGGGCTGAGTTTTCCATGAAGGTGCATCCGAGCCTGACTGTAGTAAGGTTCGCTTTTACTTGCGATGCATTATCGTTTGTCTGTCTTTCTCTTCGGCATTTTCTTTCTCCTGGTAGTGCTTCGCGAAGAGAAAAGCTACTAAGGATAAGAAAGACACGAAAAGAAAAACAAACAAATGCTAAACATATCGAGCAAAAGCGAACCTTACTCCAGTCGGCTTTTCTGCATCTTTAT